TTGGAGGGAGTCCCCTGGACATCTTTACCTGGCCGATCCGGCTCTCTGGAAGCAGCGGCATCCCTCGGGGCTGCACGGGGCAAGGAGAGGGACAACGCTCCAGGTACCTCCGTTTGCTGTCAGCCTGGTTTGGTGGTGGAAATATGCTGAGCCTGAGAGCTCCTCCAGGCACCCCCAAATCCTCAGTGTCCAAGGGAGCATTTCTGACCTGCAACAAACGTGGGGATTCAAATGTCCGAGGTGATAAAATAACCCCCTGCTACGGAAAGTCATCCTCATCTAACGGCACGGAAGGAAGTCCTGGCTCTCCACATCCCTTCAAACACGGATATCCAGCTTTTGTTTTTCTGATTTCTATTTTTAAAAACAAAAAGCTGACTTCTTTTGCAGGGACTGACTGTACGACAAAAGTTAAATTAATTTGCTTCTACAAGCCCATACAGACAAGAAACGCTTAAATTAATGCTGAACCTTACGTGCATGCAAAGTCTGTATAGTTTCGTAGGGAGGAGTGTTTTCTGTTCAGCACAGATATTACCCTAGTGATGGATTTAGAACTGCTTGTGCTATGAGGTAAATAACACAACAAAATACTTTAAAAAGGTCTGTCACATCGTTCTTTCCAGTAAGTCATTATTTCTTCTGAAGTCCTGGGAAATATAGTGCTCTGAACCCTGACACTCATCGACCTGTGTTTAACAGCAAATAAAGCAAATCCCGTTCCAAATTGGTATTGCAGAATACCAATTTTAACCTTGGCATGGTTTAATTTTTTTGGTTTGCCTTAATTACTGAAATACCATTGTGGTAATGACACGTTTTCAAACAAGTTTGGAGGGACAGTTTCTTGGCTGGCTGAAGGTAACGTAGGACCACACTGCTGCCAAAAGCAGTGTTCCTGCCGCAGCTCTGGTGTCTTGAATTAGTGATGACACAACTGCTCACCTGTCTGAGAAGGGTGCTGCAGGCCAAGCTGGTACAGCCTTCAGCACGATCATTTATTCGTTAGTGTCAACACAAGGAAATAGGCAGCCCAGGCAGGGTAGGGCTTAAGACTGGACAATCCTTTCCACAGGCTTAAGCCACCTGAGAAAACACCCCTGAAAAATGTGCAGATAGCACCTGACATAAGCTCATTAAGACTGAAGGAGAACAAAATTATTATATTCCACTTTTTCTTCACTTGTACTACAAATACAATTTCAGAAAAACAGATTCAAGTAATTATTGTTTGAAGGCACAAGACTTCCAAAAAGAAGGACATTTTCTGTTATTATCTTTAGGTTCCTTATTCACTTCGGTCCTTAAGTATCTCATCTGCAAGTGACTTTTACAAAAGCTGACTGTTTCTTGTCACTTTCCCAGTGACAACTGTGTCTTCTTTGGTGACACTTCGACCAGGCCTTAACTGTGTCTTTTCATCTCACCCACCTCTCCCTCCGATCCTGTGCTGCAGAGGTGCAGACTATTTTCTTCCTGTGTAAGGTGCTGATTATTTTTTGTTTGGTTTCACAGTCATAGGAAATTATATACTTAGTCATATCAGACAATATTTGTAGAGCTAAAAATAACAATTGTAAGCAGAGCTCTTGCAGGTGTGTTAAGCCAACATTTGCCATGTAATCATGGTGTCCATACAGCAGAGCTGTCTTCTTTATATGCTTATTAAAACAAAAAGCTTCAACACTTCAGAAAGGCTGGTGGAGTGACGTGTTAATCTGCTCCCATTAAGAAGACAGCAAATTCCCTATTGATCATCCAATTCAAATTAAGCACGTGTAATCTCATGGTGACACTCACAACGGTGTTAACCTAATGCATCCTCAGAGACAGTCGGGATGAAGTATGTGTCCTCGGGAGTGCTCAGCTTCCAACATTAATGTCATTTAGGCTCTTGGAATTTTAATATGGGTCATTAACACCAAAATCCTGTCATTACTGTTTTAAAGACAAATCCTTTTAACTGTGTCAGTCTTCTGTGCACTGCATAAGGTGTGTAGAGGATGCTACAGGTTTTCCAGTTCGTGGCAGGATGGGGGAGTCCCATCAGACTCCACCATGGAGGTGTAATTTATTGGAGGCGGTGGTGGCTTGAAAGATGGAGGTCTGTTCATACTGAAATAGAAGAGAAAAAAAACCTCGCTATCACACAAACTAAGTGTAAAAGACTTGTAAAACAGTCACAGGAGTAGGCAGAGGAACACTAAGTCATTATAAGAGCACTTGATATTTGCTTTTACATACTGTGACTTCCCTGTTCCTGTTTTATGGCCCCAGCACACCTCCTGATATTCATTTGGCTTTCTCAGCTCACACCTCACAATTTTATTTTATTCATGCTATAAAAGAACAGATCGTGGTCCTGGCGAACCATTCAAAACCCTTGCAGAGATCTTTTGCTCTCACTGCTCTCTGAAGGTATATTTAAAGACTCATAGCTTTTTTTTTTTTGTCAGTTTATGGGCCAAGATGAAGAAAGGTCTGATGCTGAATCAGTGAAAAAAAATCAACCACATTTTTATCTTAGATATATAGGATTTGCAGTCATGTTTCAAAAGGGTTTTCTAGAACCACAAATGATTCATTATCAGCATGATTTTTCAAACATTTTAGTAATGTTAGTAAGATTTAAAGTAATTGGCTCTTAGATACTGCTTTCATCAGTAGATCTCTAAGTGCTTTAGTAGAGGATTAAACTTTGGTAATAATTACAAACCCAATGCTTCTTTGATTTGGATTAAGTTTCAGGTAGCCTACTTTCACACATATTATTCACAACTCAAATAGAGTTGCCCTAGAAGTACAATTTCATTAAAACATGTCCTCAAGTAACCATGCAAAATGAGAGAGCAAAAGCATCTGGCAGGAAGGCTAATAGAAGTGGGGGGCTCTGGGGAAAAAATTTACTTGTATTCTTCCCTCACACCCTGAAGGTGCATCACAGCTCTTTTTTCTTTAAGTTTGTTTTATAGATAACCCACAGAATAGATGAAAGGACTGAGAACACTTCATATTTCACACTGCTTTATGAAACAAAAAAAAGTGGCATTAGCGATCCATGTACTTAAAGGCCTCATGCACTATGGGTTGTCTCAATGGAAAATGTGTAAATCCAGGCAGCTGCGTTGAAGTTCATACTGTCCTCTGTGCCACCCTTCCCAACCTCATCCCCTCCCTGGTACTTACATCTCTTTCTGGTACTGACACCATTTCCTGAGGCCTAAAGCTACCAGAAAACTGCAGAAGAGGAGCAGGATGGCCACCACTGTTGGCCAGGGGAAGTGACTGGCTTTGGAGTTCTTTGCATCGCCTAGAAGGGACACACAAAACAGGGATCAGCTGAACAACCTCAGAGAGGAGGGAAGGCTGGGCTTGCAGCCTGCGGCTCGGTGCTCCTGCCCAGGCACAGTACTGGTGGCAAGGCAGCCCCAAAACAACACTGGACTGCCAGCTTCCCAGGCTGAGGATCTCAAGCTGAGCATTGCAGCTCTCATTTGTGAACTTAACCACTTCTGTTCTGACTGGGTTTGCAGGCTGATTTCAGCCACTCACCAGTTCATTTGACAAGATAATTCAGGCACAGCCCAGCAAGCATATCATCTGAAAACTGTTGGTTTTTTCTGTTCCCCTGTAAGCTTTTCTGAGAAGAGGAAGCACGTCATGGTGCATCAGCGCACAGCTGCCCACGCCAGCACTCCTTCCCATCAACTTATTTTTCACATTGCTGACACCAATCCTTGCCAAAACATCTGGCCAAGGGTGCAGCTGCCTTTTGAGGTGGCCTCTTATTGGCAGCACATCATCCTTGCCTTGCCCCACTGAGCTGCCTCTCCCCACCACAGTGCTGACATCTTCCCACTGCCCCCTTCTACACAGCCAGTCTTGGGGGTGCTAGTGGCCAAAAGAGGTGCCCTTGAGGACCTGGCTAGAGGAAGAAGGAGAGGAGGAGCACAGACCTCCTCCAGCCACTGCAGAAGGTGCAGCAGTGGGCTGGGTACCAGAGAGGGCCAGAGCACAAGAGTCATTAGGCAATACTGCCTTAGTGTCACTCAGTGCTGGTTGTCATGACCCTTCGTAAGGTTGATCATACTGGTACGTCACGCAGTCTGGGTCTTAGATATGGCCAGGTGCCAAGTCTACCAACCTTCATGAGCCATGAGTGGCCCCTGGGGCACAAAAGTGTGACTGGGTAAATTTTGCAGCTGGAAGAAACCATGCACTGGGGTGTTACTTGTAGGTGTAGGGAGAAGTCAGGGATGGCAAAACCTTGTGACAACCTGCAGTGTGGGGACACAGCAGACCTGACTCCTCTTTTTATCTCTTTTTCCTGTTTTGAACTCCCTGGCCAAAAGTACACAATATTCCAGGTCTTGTGCTTCTCTGCTTTCCTTGCTTACAGCAACAGCACACTGAAAGAAGTGGATTTGTAAGACAATGTCTTACCAGTACTATTGAGCAGACTACTGGTAGTATAGAAATCTTTCGCTCTGGTAACAGAAATTGGCTGGTCTGTGATGCTGAAGGACAGGTTACCTAAAAAGATATGGGCACAGAATATTTTTAGTAACTTATTTGTTCTTTTATTAATGAAGGTTGTGTTTTGGAGTCACCGTTATTCACCCTGCTGAAGATGGGAAATCATATTCCAGAATCAGTGTCAAAATTCACTTGGCAAGGTGCCTACAATTTTGGTCTAGAAGCTAGTGTTAGACAGAAAAAAAAAATGTGCTTTTATCAAATTAAAGAATATTAGAAGAAAGAAAGGAGAACTATTAGAAAACACCCATTAAGATGTTCCAGCAAGAGAGCATTAAGCTGCATGGCAGTCTGGAAGAATGATGAGCTTTTTGATGGTAATGAAGAAGCTAAAGATATTAACTGGCTTAGCAGCAACACAAAGAGTCTGCCTCTGCCGTGACTGAGTGGAACCACAGTCTCCACTGTCAACTACTGTGTCTGAACCACAAAAAATCATCTTTCATCTGTTTGTAGACAGTTATTTTGCCTTTTCTAACACAGCTAAGCTACCTATGTTTAAGATCTGCCTAAGGATACGTTCCTGTTTTTTCTAGCTGTCTCTGTGTTCACATCTCCTGAAATAATAGCTAAAATATGTGACTTGACAATGGCACGGTGTTTCCAGAGCTGCCACAGCACTTACAATGAGCTGGTGTTGTATTCTCAGAGGAATGTGTGGCATTC